ATTTTTGAATGCTAGTCCACCTTCTCCATGCTAGAATAATCTTTTTTTTTTTTTTTTTTTTTTGAGACGGAGTCTCGCTCTGCCACCCAGGCTGGAGTGCAGTGGCCGGATCTCAGCTCACTGCAAGCTCCGCCTCCCGGGTTCATGCCATTCTCCTGCCTCAGCCTCCCGAGTAGCTGGGACTACAGGCGCCCGCCACCTCGCCCGGCTAATTTTTTGTATTTTTTAGTAGAGACAGGGTTTCACTGTGTCAGCCAGGATGGTCTCGATCTCCTGACCTCGTGATCCGCCCGTCTCAGCCTCCCAAAGTGTTGGGATTACAGGCTTGAGCCACCGCGCCCGGCCGCTAGAATAATCTTAACTTGTTCAAGACATGTCATCTTTTAAAAAATGTATATTTCTGGATTCTGTTTGTTACTGTCTCAAGATTTTTCTCACTACATTCATGAATGATAATAGCCTGTAATTATCTTTTTAAAAAAATTTCCAGCAGCCAGGCGCCGTGGCTCACGCCTGTAATCCCAGCACTTTGGGAGGCCGAGGCGGGTAGATCGCCTGAGGTCAGGAGTTCGAGACCAGCCTGGACAACATGGCGAAACCCTGTCTCTACTAAAAATACAAAAAATTAGCCGAGCGTGGTGGCGGGCGCCTGTAATCCCAGCTACTCAAGAGGCTGAGGCAGGAGAAGCGCTTGAACCTGGGAGGCAAACGTTGCAGTGAGCCAAGATCGCACCACTTCACTCCAGCTGGGTGATAAGCGAAACTCCGTCTCAAAAAGAAAAACAAAATAATTTCCTTGTGTTGTTTGTTTTTCCTCATCATTCCTTAATGGTTTGGTATTAAGGTTACACAGGCCTCATAAAATGAGTTTAACATTGGGATTATTTTTCCTTGCATGTTTAGTAGAATTAACTGGTGAAACCATCTGAGCCTGAAGTTTTCTTTCTGGGACTGTATATTACAGGTTCTACTTAAATAATTGGTATCAGACTATTCAGATCTTCTATTTTTTTCCTGTACTAGTTTTAGAAGAGTCTTCTTAAGGAAATATACCAGATGAACCTGGAAAATCTTTTCAGCAGAAAGCAAGGAGGCTATTGAAGACTACTTTAGTCATGTTAAACAAAAAAGGCTTGTGCTGATGCCTATGAAGTAGTCTTACCAAAACCAAATCTAAAACCCCTAGATCTAACTATTAATTTTTAGGACATACAGGGACAGAGGAACATGTTAAATACTACCAAAGGTGTGCAATAATTAAAATCCAAACTGTGAAACTCAATAGCACCAACCACCTAGTTAATCATTAAATAAATTTCAAGAAAAAAGAGATATGGGGAGAACTTAAATGTTAAAAGACTCAAGATATGTACGAACTAATCACAATGTATTGACCTTATTTGAATACTTTTTTTTTTTTCTTCTGAGACAGGGTCTCATTCTGTCACCCAGGCTGGAGTGTGGTGGCATGGTCACGGCTCACTGCAGCTTTGACCTCCCAATCTCCTCTCCCGAGTAGCTGGGACCACAGTCGTGCACCACCATGCCTGACTAATTTTTGAATTTTTTGTACAGACAGGGTCTTGTTATGTTGCCCAGGCTGGTCTTGAACTCCTGAGCCCAAGTGATTCTCTTGCCTTGGCCTCCCAAAGTACTGGGCTTACAGGTGTCAGCTATGGTGCCAGGCCTGTTTTTTTCTCAAATGTTAAGAAAAAAATGGCATTAGAGAAATATTTGAACACCGAATGAATCTTTGATGATGTTGGCAAGTAGATGATTTTGTTTAGGTATGATAACTGTACTAGTGTTAGTTTATTTATATTTTTGGTTTGTGTTTTAGAGATGGGGTCTTGCAATATTGCCCAGGCTAACCTCAAACTTTAGGGCTCAAGGAGTCCTCCCACTTCAGCTTCTTAAGTAGCCGGGACTACAGCATAGGCCGTCATGCCCCTGGCTCTATTATTAGTTAGTTTATTTATTTATTTATTTTGAGACGGAGTCTCACTCTGTCGCCAAGGCTGGAGTGCCGTGGTGTGATCTTGGCTCACTGCAACCTCTGCCTCCTGGGTTCAAGCAATTCTCCTGCCTCAGCCTCCCGAGTAGCTGGGATTACAGGCACCTGCCACCATGCCTGGCTAATTTTTGTATTTTCAGTAAAGACGGCGTTTCACTATGTTGGCCAGGTTAGTCTCGAACTCCTGACCTCAGGCAATCCACCCGCCTTGGCCTCCCAAAAGTGCTAGGATTACAGGCGTGAGCCACCGCGCCTGGCCCATATTATTAGTTTTTTTAAACAGTCATTATCTCCTATAGACAATTAAATACTTATGGATGAAACACAATTTCTGTCATTTACTTGAAAATAATCTTAAGCAGAGGGAATGGGTGGGGATACAGATGAAACAAGATTAACCCTGATGTAATAATTGTTGAAGTTGAATGATGTGTACATGGAGTTCATTTTTCTATTGCCTTTGCTCTTGCATGGATTTGAAATGTTCTATAATAAAATTTGTTTTTTATTTATTTATTTTTTTGAGATGGAGTTTCGCTTTTGTTGCCCAGGCTGGAGTGCAATGGCACGATCTCAGCTCACCGCAACCTCTGCCTCCCGGGTTCAAGCGATTCTCCTGCTTCAGCCTCCCGAGTAGCTGGGATTACAGGCAAGAGCCACCATGCCCAGCTAATGATCCTGAACTCCCGACCTCAGATGATCCGCCTGCCTCAGCCTCCAAAAGTGCTGGGATTACAGGCATGAGCCACTGTGCCTGGCCAATAAACTTTATTTTTTTTAATAGAGGACGACTATAAAACCTATGGGAAGCTCTGACAGCACGACTATGACTTGCTTATGTTCACTACAGGTTATCTGGCTAGGCCACTTGCTGAGAAACTCCTGATGTATCTTCAGGTCTATTCTGGTTGGATTTCTCACTGAAAACTGTCTTTTGTCTGGTAGGTGAAAGCCAGACCCTTACCTTTCTGGGAGACAAGGAAAGTAGGCTGGAGGCATCGGCATTCAGAATGCTCCTTTTCCCAAATGGAATTCCTGTCCTCGATTGTGTCTAACCCACATATCCTTTGTTTAACCTTCTTCAGAAAATAAACCTCCAATCTTCTTTGGGCTTGAGGACCTAGGACCCTGCTTGCTTCCTAAATAGCCTTTGACAGACTCTCCTCATTTTAGTCTATTCATCCTCATGTCCAGGGGTATATGGTGCCACCAATTCTTGAGTCGTTTAAGATTCTATGATGTAAAATAGATTTGTTTGTTTGTTTTTTTTTTTTTTTAGAAGTCTCACTCTGTTGCCCAGAGACTGGAGTGCAGTGGTGCAATCTCGGCTAACTGCCACCTCCCCCTCCCCCTCTCCAGTAGCTGGGACTATAGGCATGCGCCACCAAGCCCAGCTAATTTTTGTATTTTTAATAGAGAGACAGGGTTTCACCGTATTGGCCAGGCTGGTCTCAAATTGCTGATCTCAAGTGATCCTCCCATCTCGGCCACCCAAAGTGCTGGGACTACACATGTAAACCACTATGCCTGGTCAGATTTGTCCTTTACTTGCCCCCTTCAGGCTAAAATTTGGCTTTCTTAGATTCAATGTCATTACTACTTATCCATTTTTCAGTTTCCAAAATTTTGTAGTTGTTTCCTCTGTCATTCTTCCTGATTATGAATGGTTTTACTGTAGCATTAGTGTAGTTCTGAGGGGGAGCAATACCAGATACACGTAGTCAAGCTACGATCCTTACCAAGAAGTATCTTATAATCTTTCTTAAACTTAAATGAAATGGGCATTCTCTATTTCTTTTGTGAAGGTAAAGTAAAAAGAATCTCATAATATCAATGTTCCTGGTAAAAATTTTGTTTGCATGTAGAACGTAATTAGATTTAAAAAAGTGAGTTTTACCTGGTGATTTTTATATGTAAATTATAACTTAGACTAACTCTTGTTTGGTAACTCTTCAGAATTAGAACTACAGATATCTTAGGGTTTCAAGCAACATGTTTTATCATTCAACTATGAACCTGACCTTTGAATTTCTTCAGCATTATTCTTACCAAACTTATTACCTTAGGGCAGAATCTGTTCCAGTTGAGTATCTCCTAAATGTACAGATGTCCTGTAGCTTCTACTTGTGGACTGTAATTCTAGTCTGGGATAGTTGCAGAACAAGATTAACCCACTGTTCATAAAGTAGTCCTTCAAAATTTTCAAGACATATCTTTTTTACCTGGTAAAAGTCTAAAATTTACTAAAAAAATACGCTCTCAAAATGTTCATTTTGTGTGTTTAGTAAACATCAAAAGACTTCTGGAGGTCAGGCTAGTAATTTCTTTCTTTTTTTCTTTTGAGATGGAGTCTCGTTCTGTTACCCAGGCTGGAGTGCAGTGACATGATCTTGGCTCATTGCAATCTCCGCCTCCTGGGTTCCAGCGATTCTCCTGCCTCAGCCTCCTGAGTAGCTGGCACTACAGGTGTGCACCACCACGCCTGGCTAATTTTTGTATTTTTATTAGAGACAGGGTTTCACCATATTGGCCAGGCTGGTCTTGAACCCCTGACCTCGTGATCCTCCCTCCTCAGCCTCCCAAAGTGCTGAGATTACAGGCCTGAACCACCGTGCCCAGCTCTTATCTGTGATTTCTAAACCTGTTCTCTCCCTGTCTCCCTTTTCACTTTGAATCTCAGCAATCCTGATACAATATGGAGAAGTACCATTCTAGCTTTATGTTTAAAAAATTGCTAAAAATGATTGGTGTTTATAAATTAAAAACTGTTTTGTGCTGAACTGAGGTATAACTTCATGTCTGAAGGATGTGGTGCACGCATATGGGAATTGCCTAGGAAAGCCTGAGCACAGAATTTACTAGTTATGTGATCCTGGGCAAGTTTGTTAATCTTTCTGTGCCTCAAATTCCTGATCTCATAGGGATGTTGTATGGATTTAAAAAGTTTAAATGTGTAAATCCCTTAGAACAGTGCCTAGGACACAGCAAGCACTAATAAGTGTTTATTATTATTAGGAAGTGATTGATAAACTCTTGGAAGTAAATGTGCTCACTGAAAAAATACTGAATAAGAAGGTAAAGAACAATGTCTTTGGGGAATCTCACAATTAAGGGTCAGGAAATCAGGAATAACTAATATAGGAGACAGAAGGACCAGCCTACGAGGTAGGAAAAACAGAAAGTAACACCAGAATTGTTATACTCAGGCACTGGTCAAAATACTAACTGCTGAGGTCTGAGAAACAGTTACTGGCGAGAGGGATTTCCTACTCCCATCAAGTTCATGGGTTCTCCATACTTGATGTTTTCTTTTCTTATGTCCAGTAAGATTTGAGCTCACTCTAAAAGCTTTTCCACACTCCTCACATTCATAAGGTTTCTCTCCAGTATGAACTCGCTTATGTCCAATCAGAGCTGAGCCCTGACGGAAGGACGTGCCACACTCACTGCAGGTGTATGGCTTCTCACCAGTGTGGATTCTTTTGTGTTGCCTCAGGACTGAACTATGATGGAAGGCCATTCCGCATACCTCACATTTGTGACGCTTCTCTCCCGTGTGAATTCTTTGGTGATTGGTCAAGTTTGACTTCCCACCGAAAGCTTTCCCACACTCTAAACATTTGTAAGGTTTCTCTCCAGTGTGGATTCTCTGATGGATGGTAAGGCAGTGCCGGTCTTGGAAGGTTTTCCCACAATCTCCGCATTGATAGGGCTTCTCCCCGGTGTGCTCTCGTTCATGAGCCCGGCGCTTACAGTTATGACGAAAGGCTTTCCCACACTCCTCACACCTGTAACGTTTCTCTTCAGTGTGCATCCTTCTGTGTTTGGTGAGTTCTGCCTTGATGCTGAAGTCTTTTCCACACTGGGGGCACCCATAGTGTTTCTCCCTAATATGGATTCGTTTGTGCTTGCTTAGGTCTGAGCTCCGACTGAAGGCCCTTCCACACTCGCTGCACTCATAAGGTCGTTCCCCAGTGTGGATTCTTATGTGTTTGGTGAGGTCTGAACTCCCGCTGAAGGCCTTCCCGCACTCCTCACATTCATATGGCTTCTCTCCAGTGTGGATTCTGCCATGGATGGTAAGGGAATGCTTAAACTGGAAGGCCTTCCCACAGCAGTTACATTCGTAAGGCTTCTCTCCAGTGTGGATGAGCTGATGCATACACAGACAGTTCCTGGTCTTGAAGGCCTTCCCACAGTCCCTGCACTCGTGAGGCTTCTCCCCACTGTGGGTTTTTTTATGTCGGCAAAGAGCCGATCTACTGTTGAAAGCCTTCCCACACTGGATGCAGTTAAAAGGTTTCTCCCCTGTGTGGATTATCTGGTGCACAGAAAGCTGATTTCTGGTCTTGAATGCTTTCCCACACGCATCACACCCATGGGGTTTCTCAGCAGAATGAATCTGCTCATGGAGAATTAGATCTGAGTGCCAACTGAAGTTTTTGCCACACCTGGCACATTCATGGAGTTTCTGTGCTGTACTATTACATCGACTGTATTTTGAGTTTGGATTCGGGTTTTCTCTAAGCACCTTCTGGTTCTTTCTTTTTTTGCAGGTTACTTCCTCAGAGCCTTCTTTCTCTTCTCTCAGTTTCTCCCTTATAGGTGTTTTCCATTGATTCTCTAATTTGACTTCCTGAACACAAACTTCTCTAACCTCAGGATCCTGGGAATCAACTTTTAGGAGACTGTTAGATTTCATCCAGTAGGCTTCTTCATTTTCAAAAATCTGTTGTTGTGAACTTGCCTTTTCATTCTCAGGCCACATCTTATCAGTTGACACTTTAACAAGAAAATACAAATGTCAGAGGAAAGAAAATAAGTGAGATGGGAGGGGTGAAGCAATGTTAAGCTGTTTGAAGAGTAAATAACTTTTCCGTGCTGGAAAAATTACTGACGTTGTGGCCAAAAGTCAGAACAGGCTGAAATGATGAAAAGTATTGAGATATCTTATTTTTTATTTTTATTTTTTTTTTGAGATTGAGTCTCTTTGCTGGCCAGGCTGGAGTACAATGGTGCAATCTCAGCTCACTGCAACCTCTGCCTCCAAGATTCAAGTGATTCTCCTGCTTCAGCCTCCCGAGTAGTTGGGATTACAGGCGCCTGCCACCATGCCCGGCTGATTTCTGTATTTTTAGTAGAGACGGGGTTTCACTACATTGGCCAGGCTGGTCTCGAACTCCTGACCTTGTGATCCACCTGTCTCAGCCTCCCAAAGTGCTGGGATTACAGGTGTGTGCCACCACGCCCGGCCTTGAAATATTTTAAACTCAGCACACTTTATAAAAAATCCTTAAAAACCTACTCCTGTATAGTCTCTTAGTTTAGTGAGTGTAAACTCTATATACCTAGTCATCTAAGCCACAAAACGAAATAATCTTCAATTCTATCTCCCTCGTATTTACCCAGCTAACATTTTACAAACTCTACCTGTGAAGAGAGTTACAGAGGAGGTGTTGAAATGCTGATGCAGTCCCTTTTCAAGGAACTGTCTGCTTTGCTCCCAAGGGTGGGCCCTGGAGAGCCGTATTTCTATTATGTGACTCAGCACATCTGGTTGGGACAGATTAGATCCGCGCAATACCTGACCCAAACCAGGCCAGATTCTCTCATCCTGGACTTTAGAATTGTGATCTGAAGGCAGGTAAGGCCAGCTTTAAGAGTAGCTCAGTCTTTAGCACTTAAATTTGAGAACTAGTGGTGGTGGGATGGTATTTGGTACAGACGAGGGAATGTTCTGCCATCTGGTCTGAGAAGCAGAGGTCAATTTGTCTAGAAAGAAGAATGAAGCTGACTCACAAAGATGCAGGGAATACAGCTGGAAAGAGGGCCCTGATGGTTTCGAGTCTCTTCTAGGTCCTGACACATACCTGCCCTTAGGTCCTATGACACATCCTGAATAATAAATAAATTCATGTTTTTCTGCTTAAGCTAGCTTGGGTTAATTCTATTGCTGGCAACCGAAGACTCCAAATGCATCTTGTTAATATTATCTCTGAACTCTATCTCTTCCTCTTTATTTCCACTGCCAGGGCATTCTCACTCACTAATTGCTATATCCCTCAAACATCCTTTAGCCTGAATCCCTTCTAATCCATCCTCTACACTGCTTCCAGATTATTCTTTCTGAAAATCAAGTCTAATCATGTCACTTTTTAGCTTAAAATACTTCAGTGGCACTCCACAGTTAACCAGACAGGAAGAACGTAAAGCATACGTCAAGAGTCCTGGCTCTAGAGTGAGACTGCCTAGGTTCAAATCCTAGTATGACACTTAATAACTCTTAATACCTGTGTGAACTTGGGAGGACGCCTTCACTTCTCCTTTGCCTCAGTTGCTTTATCTATAAAATGAGCTCTAGGCTACCTATGATAATTAAATGAGTTAATGTTTGTAAAGCACATGCCACACTGAAGTACTTTAATCAATATTAGCTGTTACTATAAGTTCAAGTTTTGCAGTTTAAATTCCTGGAGAAAACTCCCAAAAAACAGACATCATATCGTGATCTTGCCCCTTTCTACTACTTATGAACCTCCCCAAAGCTATTCTAAGTCCCTTGCTGTACTCATACTGAACAACTCACAGTTCATATTCTTTTATTCCTCAGTGCTTTCTCACGTTATTCCTTCTGCGTAGAATGCCTCTCACCTGTCTCAATTTATGAGCCCTGGAGTAACTGATACACAGAAGGGTGATAAATATTCTGAGCTTTTTTTTTTTTTTGAGGTGGAGTCTCACTCTGTGCCCCCGGCTTGGAGTGCAGTGGTGTGATCTCGGCTCTGTCTCCTGGGTTCAAATGATTCTGCTGCCTCAGACCCCCCAAGTAGCTGGGATTACACCCAGCACGCACCACCACACCCAGCTAATTTTTGTATTTTCAGTAGAGCTGGGGTTTCACCATATTGACCAGGCTGGTCTCAAACTCCTGACCTCAGGTGATCTGCCCATCTCGGCCTCCCAAAGTGCTGAGATTACAGGCGTAAGCCACCGTGCCCAGCCTCTGAGTTTTTTTTGAAGGCCAAATTGCAAAAATCTATTAGATAGGTTGCAAAGAACCAATTAGATAATGACAGAATAACTGCCCAAATAGTTTGTCATTGTTTCAATTTTCTTTTCCTTAAGTTTCCTAAATGGGTTTCCTTTCTGGGCCCTTTGGGCTGGATGATCCACCGAGAATGTTCCATAACCATCATGTCACATGGAAAATAAGAGGGAACTGAAAAGTTTCTCTATTACTCACCTGGATAGGAGCAGCTTAGGGACTCCCCGTCCTGTGGATACTGCACACAGGGCTCTACTCCTCGCTCCAGATGAGAGATTAAAGGAGGTTTAGGAAATGGAAATCCTGGTTGCAGAAAAGAAATAAGTGTGTAGAATAACATATAACTTAATGCTTAGCCCTGATCCTTCTGTTTGCATATGGAAACAGGAAATAAATGTTAATTTAGAGAAAAGGGGTTTTCAGGGGTCTAATAACATGTAAAAGAACATGTTTGGGGACTTTCTCAGAAAAGTCACACTCAGAAGGAAAGAGAAGGTTCTGGGAAACAGTCATTTGGGTGTGCTTTCCTGTCTTTTATTTTATTTTGTTTTTGTTTAGGAGAATGGGAGTCTGTATAGGAAGACTATCAGTTTCAGGCACCTAGAAGGTAGTTCATGACTAGGAGTGGAATATAGAACACCTCATAAAAAAATGAGAGGCTTGAGGAAGCAAGAACCCAGAGAAAACAGAAGCTAAGTGTCTCCTTTTCACTCAGGCAGACTCTTATTCCAAATCAAAAAACAGCAGCTAGGTTAGCCAAAAATTATCTTGCTATGTAACAGAGGCAACTCAAAACTCTTAATTTTTGGGCAAGATCCTGATGGTAAAGAATAGGGACTCTGACTTTCAATATGAGACCTCATATACATCAATAAATAAAGCAATTAAATAATAAAAAAAGAAGGTAGAAAGCGTTAAGTCAAGTGCAGGGAAGGTCCTTACCAAGTGATAACATGTTCCCATAATTTTCCAACATCACATGCTTATAGAGATGCCTTTGAGCGTAGGTCAGACTCTGCCACTCCCTGTTAGTGAAGTTCACAGCTACATCCTCGAATGTCACTGACTCCTGAAATAATATGCTCCTGTTATCCGGGAGAAAACACCATAGTTTCCTCAGGAAACAGGGGCAGAAGAAAGGAATTTGCAAGGAGGAGGTTTATAGATGTGAAAGGCTCTTCCCTTTTGTTGGATATTTACAAATGAGATGAAAGGGAGCTTGGGGTTTTGATAGCAAAAAAAAAATGAAAGAGAAAACAACCCACAAGTGGTTTATCACGCAACAAAATGTTCCTTATGAGAGGGAGAACCCTGATTTAGGAGTTGCACAGCCAGAGAATGCAGTGAAAATAAGGCCATATTTTGGAGGTAGTGATGTATCTTCCAGAAGGAGGAAAGGGGCCTCAGCTCACTTGGGCCTGGCTCATCAGTGTGATATCTGCTTGCAGCAGGTTTCCTTGGCTTCCATCTTTAGTGAAGGCAGGACACTGGGCAGGTAATAGAGCTGAGGGAAGATAAGTAAGCCAAGAGTCAATTTAGCACAGTATTACTCCTGCATTCATCTTCTCTTCCTCAAATGTAGAAGCTTCTGCAGCTCTAACCTAGGGTTTTAGGCTACTGCCTTACAGTTTCCTTCCTCTTCATTATTTTTCTAGTCTCAGCTTCCAGTGTTGGGCATCAGGCCCCGGCACAGCAGCCAAAACGTCTCTTGGAAGTGCACTCTCCTCCTCTCTCAACTACTATGTTTTCCTGTGCTCTCTGCCCTGGAATAAACTTTCCCCCTCGCCAAACATCTGGTAAAAAGGCCCAAATCACTTACTCCCTGGTTTGGAATAACCCTTCTTCCTGTATTTGAATACTGAAGTCATTTCTTCCAAAATACTTGGGGTAGAAGGAGAGTGAAAGAGTGTGTGTGTGTGTCTGCACATGTGCGTGTGTACATGTGTGCGTGTTGAACAAAAGCATCCAGAGATGCTTACTTCTTCTGGTAACTTAATGGCTGGTCTACCTCCAGTAGTTTGTTACAAATTTTTTTCCTTACTCTTATTAGAGAAGAATCATTCTTCCCGATTTTGCACCTCTTTCCTACTAATTCCCTAGTACCGAGCTATCCTCCCTACATCAATATAGTATAGCACACACAGCATTTTAAAATGCAAAATAAACTTTATTAAGAATGTCCAAGTGTTCAGGTATAATCCATATGATTGGGTGAGAAGTAGTTTTTATTTTTATTTTTTTTGAGACTTCGTCTCACTCTGTTGCCCAGGCTGGAGTGCAGTGGCACCATCTCGCCTCCCTGCAAGCTCCACCTCCTGGCTTCACGCCATTCTCCTGCCTCAGCCTCCCAAGTAGCTGGGACTACAGGCACCCACCACCATTCCTGGCTAATTTTTTGTATTTTTGGTAGAGACGGGGTTTCACTGTGTTAGCCAGGATGGTCTCAATCTGCTGCCTTCGTGATCTGCCCGCCTTGGCCTCCCAGAGTGCTGGGATCACAGGCGTGAGCCGCCATGCCCGGCTGAGAAGTAGATTCATATTACTAATTAATAGGGCCTGACTTTATTCCTTGTAGGCCAGCTCAATCTTTCTGTAGCTTCAATGTTTAAGGTGCCTTGTTTTTCTTGATAGTTTATCAACACGTCCCTAAGTCCAAATCTGAATAATTGCTTTCTGCTAGTAAGACACCAGTAGGGTCAAAGTAATCTATTGGTAAGATTTTAGGATCACCCTTTGGCTTTAGACCCTCAAGACTATCATTCCATTTTTACCAAAACCTGATTTTAGAACCAAGCTGATTTCTTTTCACTGAAATTGCCCAAGAAGACTTTTCTTTAGTTTCAGCTACTTACAGCTTTTGACCAAGACCAAGGCTGCATCTCAGTCGTGGTGGTTCCATACAGTTTTTTCTCTGTCTCACTCTAAAAGCTCCGAGTTCCTTTATAACTGTCTCAAAAAGTCTAAACTCACCTGGATGGCACACAACTCACAGAAGACACATGTTTGTGCCTTGTTAATGTTACATAACAGTTCTTTTCCTTATAACATTAATACACTTAAAGCTCTCAATTGGATGTTTTCAACCATTATTTTATTACGAATATTTTCAAGTACATAGAAAAATTGAAAAAATTATATAGTAAATATCCATATACCAATCACTTACATTCCAGAATTTACGTTCTGTGTATTTGCTTTATCACACACTTATTCATTTATCTATTCCTCTATTGTTCATTAATGTATTTTATTTTTTGAATAATTTCAAAGTAAGTTGAAAGCATCAGTACACTTTACCCCTAAACACTTTAACATATATATAATTAACTGGAAGTTCAATATTTGTTTACATTCTTTTTTGAGGTAAAATTTGCATATAATGAAATGCACATGTCTTAAATGTACCCTTAGAGAAACTCTGACAAAAGCATACCCCTATGTAACTCATTCCCCTCCATATATGTCCCTAATGGTTTTTACCATATCTTCTTCACAACTGGGAAAGTCTATCACTCATAGTGATTCATAAGGTTTATTTTTTAGCTTTAGCTTTAGAAATTGAAAGGTTAGTTATTCCTCTCAAGTTAAAAGTGAATTTAGGAAACAGGCTACATGAAGAAACAACATAAAACTTTTCGTTAGAGCACTATACAGATATTTTGTGGGATGAGATTAATACATTTGTATTGTATTATATGATAGGTGGCTATAGAATTTCTGATCCTAAAAATCCACCACAGCAGATTTCAAGATCTTTTGAGAAAAAAAGGACTGGGAGACTCGTGCATCCGAGTTTAGCAATAGCTATTATTTTCTATTTCTAAATTTATAAAAAAGTTATGTTCCATATTATTAATTCTCATTTGTGATCCCTTGTACAGCAGAATTTCAGGATTCTTCCTCTGGATGTTTCAACACTATATCTAGAAACACATTTTGTTTTTATTTTTTGCAGGTAACATATACTAAAAAGCTTACTTTTGAATGTGCCTACTCCTCTGTCCAAAAGTCTGTGCCTTTCTGGGTCTGGTTTTATGACTCCTGAATTGCTATATACCATCTCCTAGGTTGCACCTCCAACAGCATTTTTTTTTTTTTTTTTTGAGACAGAGTCTCACTCTGTTGCCCAGGCTGGGGTGTAGTGGCATGATCTCAGCTTGCTGCAACCTCCGCCTCCTGGGTTCAACCGATTCTTCTGCCTCAGCCTGAGTAACTGGGGTTACAGATGCATGCCACCACGCCTGGCTACTTTTTGTATTTTTAGTAGAGATGGGGTTTCATCATATTGGCCAGACTGGTCATGAACTCCTGACCTCAAGTGATCTACCCACCTAGGCCTCCCAAAGTGCTAGGATTACAGGCATGAGTCACTGCGCCCGGCCCACCATCAGCTTTTATACAAATCTTAACCACTTTTCCTCCTCACATAAGCCCCCAAAGAGCACAGGGCTTCAATGGGAAAACTTTTGCTTCTTCTTTTGTCACTGCTTTATTTTATATTTCGGAGCTATCTATACATCATTTAAAAGTATCAGGGCTCCAAAAAGGTCTGCAGAAATAAAATTGTATATATTCAAAATTTACATGTTGGCAAAATTATGCTTGGGTCGGAATTACTGAATTATACCACAAGTTTTACAAGTGTAAAATATTATGTGTGAATATTTACCATATATCTCAAGTTATACAAATAGTAAATGTCTGACTGCACTGAGTCTCTGATAAATTGCTTTGTAGAATCTTTTATGAATTTTTTTCAAAATTTAAGATACAGACAAAAACTGAATATTTAGTTCCTCTAAGATATTGATCCAAGCCTAGTATAGAAACAAAATAAGACTTTCTATAAATGCTCATTAATGAACAGATTTTTGGGCCCCAGTGTAGCATTCTGTACCCACTCTGTGTCCTTACTCCCTTCTCAGCTGCCATGACTCCTGCCACAATCTCCTGTGTACCTCACCTCTTTCCTGAGGGAGCTGGGTATTCTGGGGGGTCCAAAGCAGCTGGCTTGGTGGTCCTGAACTCTCATCTGACAGCACAACCTATCGCAAGGCATAGAATGAATTCAGGGAAGTTATGAAGGTGAGAAAAACACATAGGAAGATGCAAGCAACCATACAGGTCTATCCATGGAAACCGTCTCCCAGAAATACCAAAAGAGGGAAGAAAATAATAGACTCAGTTCCTAATACCTTATGAAAATTAGAAATGGCATCTACAACTACAAAGCTTTAATGATCACCCGGTCAAGCAGGAAAAACAGTATCTAGGAGAAGATACCTCCAACAGTATCTACAGTCAGACACACCACCACTCACATTGCTTTCCTTCTTTCTTGGACTCACTTCTCCTTCTTCCTCCTTGTGATATATCACAGACCCTCCTCTTCTTACCTCCTGCATCTTTTTACCCAGGTTTCTTTAACAGTCTTCCACTGCTGTCCTGGTTTCTTCCTACTGGTCAGATCCAGTTCTCAAACAAGCTGTGAAGTGGCTCCGGTTGATGCCAGCCTCCTTTGGAGAACACATATTTTGGTGGTGCCAGCCAAAGGGCCCTTCTGACCCACAGGGCAGCTGCTGTTTGGCTTAATGTGTCAAACACTGCCCTGGATTTGGGTTTCATTAGCAACACTAAACCAGCTGTGATCTCACTTCTTGTTTCCTTGCATATTTGGTGAAGGGAAAAGAGGAATGTGACCACAGAAAAAAACAGGGAGTCACTGAGAACCTAAGGCAGGAAGACAAACTGAAAATGTGAACATATCTAGAATACAATCTCTATTGCTACCACCTTTTTCTGAGCCATCGTCACCTGCTATCTCCCCTCCTTTCCATTACTGTGGTAGCCTTCTAACTGGTCTCCTTTCTTCAATCCTTGCCTTCCTCCTGTCTTTCTTAATAGAGCAGTTTGAGTGGTCCGTTTACAACTTGAGTTGGATCATTTCATCTTTCTGCTGAAAACTCTCCAGTGGCTCAACCTTACTTAGAATAAAAGCTGAAGTCCTTACAGAGGTATGCAAGGCCCTACTGAATGTGCCCACTACTTCTAACTTCCTCTCCTGCTCACTCAAAATAAAAGCTGAAGTTTTAAGAGTGGCACACAAGTCTACGGGATGTGTGATTCTCAACACCTTTTACTCTTCTCCCACTCCCTCAATCTTCTTCAGCCACACCGACCTTCCTTCCTTCCATCTTAGGGCCTTTCCATTGGCTGCTCCCTTCACCTCAAGCGATCTCCACGGCTAATAATCTTGCCTCCTTCAAGTGTTTTCTTATATGTCATCTTCCCAAGGAGGTCTACGTTAACTAAGTGCCTTATTTAAGATTGCAACTTATCCCCTCCTTCCAATCCTGATGTGCCTTACCTTGCTTTACGTGAATTCTTCTTTTTCTCTATAGCGCTTTATCACTTTCCAATATGGTGCATAAGTGACTTATTAATATATACACTGTTTATGGTCGTTCTACCCTCGCTAAAATGTAGGCTTTTAGGCTCCGTGAGCGCAGGAATTTTTGTCGTCTTGTTCACTGTTGTATTCTCAACGCCTAAAACAGCGCTTGCAATAGTATGTGCTGGATTCAAAATTAGCTGACTGAATGAATATATGAATGGGTGCTGTAGAGAAGAATAAAAAGAATGGGTCAGGGGTGACAAGAGCAAAACTCCGTCTCAAAAAAAACAAAAACAAACAAACAAACAAAAACCCAGAATGGGTCAGGGGCTCCTGGGAACAAGACGAGGGGAGGAGGTAGGGCAGACAGGCGGGAAAAGCTCATTTTGGGGAATGGCTTCGAGGGAGGAAACCTCGAAGTAGACCCCCCTCCTCAAATCTGACCCCAAAGCCCCGCCCCTGCCTGCAACCCCAGGGGCCCGGGTATTTAGGTGAGAGGTGCGGCGGCGCCAGACTCCTCTCATCTGCAAATCCCGACCCAAGCCGGCCCAAAGCACAGACCTTCCCGCAGATACTCTCCCCAAGAAAAGAGAAACAGAACTATATAGAAGCTCCACTTCCTAGTCCGCCAATTATCATTTCCGGTGATTTTCTAGGAAAGGCATCAACTCTCTGGTCTAGGCGTTCCCTCAAACTCTCCGCCCTCCTCGTCGCGGCTCAGCCTTGTAGGAGTTCTCGTGCGTTTATGGCGGGTGCAAAGGGGTTGCAGAAATGTTGCACTTTTGCCCCATTTTTCCCATGTAGAGGAACCTCTAGATAGGAATGGACAGAAGTTTTGTAACAAATATGTGAAAAAGTTACTTTTAAATATTAACTAAGAAGACAAATAATTGAATTTTTTTTTTCAAAAGCAAAGATTATTTTAAGCCTATGCAGAAGTCGAAAGAAAAGTATAAGTAACCCGCATATATCCATCATTTACATTTAAAAATACATAAAATTCTGCCACACTTGTTTCATCCATCTCCATTTTTTTCTTGCTGAAACGTTTTAAAGCAAACCCCAAATATGTTACTTTCAACTTCATTATGCATTTCTTTTAAAAAGGATATTTTCCTACAGAATCACAATACTATTATCCCATTTAACAAACGAATTCCTGGTTATCATCTAATACCAAGTCCATATTATATTTCCCTAAATATATACATATGCTTCTTACATTTGTTTTCTTTTTCATTCAAGATCTAAAGTCCATATGTTTAATTTGGGCATGTGTCTTAATTCTTTTAAAATTCACATCTGAATTAGTTCTACCTTCCATCCTTCTCTTCCGCTGCCCCTCATATAGTCAACCAATTGAACAAATTGGGACGTTGTCCTAAATGTTCTACATGCTGGCTTTGTCTATTTGTGTCCCCATTTTATTAGTTTCTCTAGCCTTGTATTTCCTGTAAAACTTGATGTTACCTCTAAAGGTTTGATTAGAGTTAGGTTTAACTTTGTTGGTAAGAATCCTTAGGTGGTGCTGTATACTTTTTGCCATACATCAGGGAGCATATAATGTTTTTGATGCTAAGATTGACCAACGGGTTTAATACTTGACAGCTGAATCCCTCCATGTAAACTTTCCCACTGGTTTTTAATCTGATAGATTCAGCCACCGATGAGTTTTGCCAAAATCAACTATTTTAATAGAGGTTGTAAAATTGTAATTTTTCTAATTCAATAAGTTTTTCACATTTATTAGTTAGAATTCCTCTATAAAGAAAAACTTTCATTCATCAATTTAACAACTCAGGGCTATTCGGTTATCCTGAAATGTAGTTTGTACAGGAAAGACAGACTATTTAATTTTCAACATAATTGCCAATTTTCAGAAAAAGCAGTTGTGCCTTAGGTGCCATCAATGGTAACCATCTTACAAAATGTGATAGCCATCCTACAAAATGGCTGGCTGGGCCCTACTGTCCAACATTCACATCCTTGTGTAGCCCCCTTCCACATTGTACCATGGTTGGTTTGTGTGACTGGATGATCTGGTAAAAGTGATGCTATGTTTTTTTTAATTTGTTTTGTTTTTTGAGACAGAGTCTTGTTCTGTTGCCCAGGCTGCAGTGCAGTGGCGCCATCTTGGCTCACTAAAATCTCCACTTCCTGGGTTTAAGTGAGTCTCCTGCCTCAGTTTCCCAAATAGCTGGGACTACAGGCATGCACCAGCATGCCCAGCTTATTTTTATATTTTTAGTAGAGATGGGGTTTCACCATGTTGGCCAGGCTGGTCTTAAGCTCCTGGCCTCAAGTGATCTGCCTGCCTTGACCTCCCAAAGTGCTGGGATTACAGGCATGAGCCACCGCACCTGGCTGATGCTACATTATCTCCAATATTAGGTTATAAAATAATCTATGACTTCTGTTTTGGTCTCTTTTTCTTTCTTAGATCACACAACCGTGAGAAAGCCAAATGCCATGTTGTAAGGAGAGGCCCATGTGGTGAGGAACTGAAGCCTCCTGCCAGCAGCCACATGAGTGAGTTTGGAAGTTGATCTTTCTATGTTAGTAAAGCCTTCAGATGACTGCAGTCCCGAATGATGTCTTGGGTGCAACCTGAGGATATACGCAGAACCACCAGCCAAGCTGCTCCCAGACTTCTGGTCTGCAGAAAGAGGGGAATGGTTTTGAGTGAGGAAACTGCAACCGATGTTTGGTTCTAAGTTTTAGGATAATGCATCAGTTGATAACTAATGCAGAATTTTGTTTTCTCTTTTTGCACATCTAATGTGCACTGATGCACAATCTTTCTGTGCAACTAATGCAAAATTTTGTTTTCTTTCTTTGTGCACAACAAGTGTTCTGCATCAGTTGATAACTAATGCAAAGTTTTGTTTTCTCTTTTTGCATATCAGTATGAACACATGGACTTAAAAAAGTATATTCAATGAGTCTCAATTGCAGTCGTTATTCTTTTTAATGTTCAAATTATTTCATCTTTGATCAGTGGGAGTCCCTTTATTTTATCTCCTGTGTCCTTTTCATCCAACTTTAAGTGTCTTTGCTTTTTTCCTTTATGGCAAGATAAATGTTTCAGACACATGTCGTATATTTCCTGCCTCAGACCTGGAATCAGCCATTTTTCCAAGGTGTTCTGGTGCTTTCAGTGGAGGCAAGGATTGCATACCTTTGTGAATAGTCATGGTTAGCTGCTTAAAAAATGTATCAAAATGAAATAAAATTTGCTTACGTATGAGATTAAATCCAGGCTACCCCACTCACAATATGTGTGTATCGTACCTTAGACACACCCTAGTTTGTCTATCTACAAAATAGGTCCAGTGTAAATACCTAAATTTCAGAGCTGTTATAAGGATAAATTATATGGAAATATAATATATTAAGTTATGGAAATCACTTAACACAATGCCTGGCATCAAATTTCATGATCAGAATAATTGCAAACCTGGAAGATACTATAATGGTAATGAGGCACACTTTCTTCATTTTACACTTGAGAAAATTGAGGCCCAAGAGATTAAACACTTGCTTGAACATACAAAGGAGGATAAAATTAGAAGAGAATCTAATGACTTCACACTCTTGGATCTCATACCTAGGCTACTTTGGATATAAATGCAGCCTTTCCAGCCCAGTTGGGTCTTGTTTATTCAAAGACAAAGGAGGTAAGAAAACACTTGGCACAGTACTAATAAAGTGGTATTATGGGAAGTGCAACAACTTTATATTGAGAAGATTTGGTTCCTGATTCTGCAACTTGTTAGCTATGACACTGTGAGCAAGTTACTTAATTTCTCTGTGTCTGAATTGCTGCATCTGTAAAATAGCGAAAACAAATCCCTTATGCACAAGTTCATTGTGAGAGGGTTAATATACACATATTGTATATGAAAATGCTTGGGCCGGGCGCGGTGGCTCAAGCCTGTAATCCCAGCACTTTGGGAGGCCGAGACGGGCGGATCACGAGGTCAGGAGATCGAGACCACCCTGGCTGACACGGTGAAACCCCGTCTCTACTAAAAAATACAAAAAACTAGCCGGGCGAGGTGGCGGGCACCTGTAGTCCCAGCTACTCGGGAGGCTGAGGCAGGAGAATGGCGTAAACCCGGGAGGCGGAGCTTGCAGTGAGCTGAGATCCGGCCACTGTACTCCAGCCTGGGCGGCAGAGCGAGATTCTGTCTCAAAAAAAAAAAAAAAAAAAAAAAAAAAAAAAAAAAGAAAATGCTTGACCATATTACTTGCTGAATAAAAATCATTATACAAAAATAATTTCTTCAATCCCCCAATTTTATAATTTTTTTTTCTCATCTAATGGAAATTGGCATTTTAAGTAGAATGATCCCTAAGGATACTAAGTCTATAATTTTGTAAATGACTTCAGTGAATACTGTGCAAAGGCACTGTGCAAGGAGCTACAGGAGAGATGCTATGCATGGTCATCTACCCTCCAGGCTGACTGGGTATAGTCTTTCTTTCCAATGTTAATCTACTTAACAGTAATAATGTCCAGTTCACATATTTTTGTGTGATACATTCATGAAAGTCTGCTATACCCTTTGCTGTTATAAAGATACTTCCACAGTAGACCCTTAGCATATACTTTAATAATCTTGTTCGATTGACGGACATTTATTTACACTATTTGTTCTTGGCTAACCACAATCGCTCATAAAATATCTCCTAAAATAATTAATACTGGAATTTTGCCAAGGATCCATGTCAAATTTTTCACCCTGTTAATTCCACAGTCCACCTTCTTACTTTTTGACAATTTGGATATTTGTCAGACTTGGGCATTTGTTGCACTACTCAAAAATGGACTTCAGGGATCCTGTGGCCAATCCTCCTGAACTTTAGGATGCTTTAAGCTGGGCATGAAAACTTGTAGTTACCCTTTTACTATCTTCCTTATGTAAATGTTTGTCCTACTATTCTCAACTTGAAGGTCATGACACTTGATGGAGATATGAAAGCCTGATTATGTTAAGTAATTCTATGGCCCTTCTGCCATCTGTCAAAATTACAAAATTCATTTCCTGGGGCTTTTGGAAAAAAAAAAACAGCAAATATTTCAGGCATATTAAAGAGTAATATAAAGAACACTCAACATCTAGCTTAAGACATAAAAGATTATACACACAATTAAATCACCGTGTTTACTCCTCACCAATTCCTTCCCCCTTCCTTCCCAGGTTAACTACTATCTTGATTTTGATGTTATTATTCCTATGCATGTTTACATATTTTTAGTACATATGTGGGTAGCCACAAATATTATATAGTATAATTTACATGTTTTACAAACTGGGGGTGATACAAGCCCAGTGATTTCAACAATTGCCAGCAAACCACCAGGAGCTGGGAGAGAGGCTTGGATCAGATTCTTTTACACAGTCCTCAGAGGAACCAACTCACCAACACCTCGGTCTTGAACTTCTAGCCTCCAGACTTGCGAGAAAATAGATTTCTGATTTTAGGCCACCTAAAATCTTGTGGTACCTGGTTACAGCAGCCCTAGGACACCACTACACATCCCCACATA